CTGCAGGACTTCCTGCGCTGGACGCTGCTGTTCGTGCAGCAGCAGCATCTGTGTGTCGACAGGAGTCTGACGGAGGTTCTGCAGCAGAGCGTCGACTTTCTGAAGGACAAAGATCTGATCACAGAGGACGCTCACAGTCTGAAGGTCACCAAGCTGGGGAAGGCCACGTACAAAGGTTCTTCTCAGAACACCTGGTTCTGGTTCCAAGTGTTCTACCTTGTATTCTCCGGCTGAGCCAGCAGGGGGCGCTGCAGCAGCTAACTCCTGGTGTGTGTGTGTGTGTCGTCAGGCTCGGTGGACCTGACCTACAGCGACGTTCTCTACAGAGACCTGTCCAGAGGCCTGGAGGCTCTGCTGCTCAACAGCTACCTGCACCTGGTCTACCTGGTGACGCCCTACGACCTGGTGCCTCAGTGCAAGCCCGACTGGATGGTGTTCTTCAGACAGGTACGAGCCGCCAGCGCACCCGCCGCTCCCCTCGCAGGTGGGTTCTGACCAGGTGTGTTTCTGATGCAGTTCACGCTGCTGTCGGCTGCAGAGCAGAAGATGTCGGCCGCCGTCGGAGTCCCAGAGAGCTTCGTGGCGAGAAAAGCTGCCGGACAGACAGTGAAGACGGTAAACGTACACCAGTGGAGCTTCACCTGAGCTTTAGAACGAGACAGACAAGACAGGAAGTGACACACAACAAGACAGGAAGTGACACACAACAAGACAGGAAGTGACTCACAACAGGAAATACAAGACACATAGATCAGAGTAGTGATTCTGACCCGTCTGGTTAACCTCTCGTCCCGTTCAGAGCGTGAACCAGGCGGTGGTGGGGAGGATGTACCTGGCTCTGGTTCTGCTCTCGGTTCTGAAGGACACCGACCTGTGGAGCGTGGCCCAGCGCTTCCAGCTGAGCCGAGGCTTCGTCCAGACGCTGCTCAGCTCCTCGTCGGCCTTCTGCTCCTGTGTGCTGCACTTCAGCGAGGTACCGGGTCCCTCAACGGGTCACAGGAATTCTGTCGGCTCTGACTGTTCCAACAGAACATTGGAGTTCTGTTGGTCCTGTCGGAGCCGAGCCCGTACAGTCGAGGTGTCTCCTCGGTGTCGGTCCCACAGTCATTTCTAACTCGTTGTGGATGTGTTGGTTTATTTTCATTCTTCTTCTTCTTCGTTCCTTCAACGTTTCCACCATCTGTGCTGCTCTAACGTTTCCCTCTGTGGCTCCAGTCAACACTCTCCTTATCTTCTCTCACATAACAGACTGCAAACTAGATGGTACGTCTTTTAGTTTTTGGACCAGTTCAGGGGATTAATGTCAAAGGTGGAGAGCAGGAAGTCAACAGGAGCCCACCACCAACCACAGCCAGCTCTGCTTCCTACTTCCTGCTTTGTGTCCTCGAGNCAGGAATAAATAATAACAGGAATAAAACAACCAGGACCGGAGCCTGGTGAGAATTTAAGGTCCAAACAGGAACCAAACATTTCAGATGAAGTTCCAGGAGAGGAGGCTGATGTGTGGTCTGTGTGAAGTGATGCTGAATGGACACTTTGTTTGGTTTTACAGTCGCTGGAATCTAGATGTAAACAATAAAACTCTTTAATTTTTCACCTCGTGGTTCCAGCTGAGGTATAAACCAGTGTTACAGAGAGAAGCTCAGTGATTGTTTGTAGGATAAAAATCACTTCAAACCAAACTTGATCTGTTAATCAGTTAGCAAACCAGGTGAAGAGCAAACAGGAGATAAACCAGAATGTAAAACATGTTGAATGAATCACATCCAGGATGTGTTCATCAGTAACTGATGCTTCAGACCTTAAATATATAAAACATTTTGCTGTTTTCTCTCTAAACCTGCAGTCGATGCTTTTAAATTAAACTATTTGATGAGTGTTAGACTGTATTTCTACCTTCATTGTACCATAAAGTGATGAATATAAAATCGTGTGATGTTTAATAATATTTATGACAGAAGCGTCAGAGCTTCATGTTTAGTAAAATATGTGTAACTTCTGATGATGTGAAGCTGCTGCTTAGCTTCGTGTTCAGCGTCTCATCACTGTTGTGTGTTTGTGTGGTTTCAGGCTCAGACTCTGGTCTGCGCTCCGACAGAGAACTGTTACAGCAACCTGCTGCTGGACGACGGGAAAGGCCTCCAGAACCTGATCCTGTCGCTGGTCGGACTCAACGTGAGGCGCTTCGTCTTTTTCTGTAGTCGTCTCTGTCTCGTCTGAAGCTGTGGCTCAGACAGTCTCAGCCAGCAGCTGTCTGTTCATCTGATGTTATTTTTATTTATTTATTCTTCAAATGTCCTCCTTTTGTTTCAGCAAAACTCCCAAATAATCCGCAAATAATCCTGAACAACGCAGACGAGCAGCAAACTGTTTTTCTTTTTCCCCGACAGACAACAGAAACGAGTGTTTAACCACCGACCAGCTGCTGATTAGCGTCCTGTCGGTTGATTACTGTTGGTTTAACCTCAAACATGTAAAAAATTACACATCTGGAATACGTGGAGATAAAACGACCACAAAGAGACACAACACCAGAAAACCAGGAAGCACGATGACAAATAAGGAAAACAAAGCAACAGGAAATAAGAAAAGCAGGAGAGTACACAACAGCAGCAACAAGGAGACACAAAACAAAAATATGAGACAGAAAATGAAAAAAACAAGACACAAAATGACCACAAAGCCACGCAAAACAGCATAAACAAGACACAAAATGACACAACACAAGAAATATGAGACACAAAATAAGAAAAACAACAATCAAAATGACAAACAAGACCAGAAATGACATAAAACAAAGATTTGAGACAAAACAACAAAAACAAGACACAAAGTGACATAAATGAGACACAAAATGACACAAAACTAGAAACACGAGACTGAAAGTGACGCCAAAAAGACACCAAACAACAAAACCGAGACGAGTCACAACATCAGCAGAAGTCCAGCAGCTCCTAAATGTTCACTTTAGAGTCACATGACCAACGTTCAGTTCTCAGACGGCCATGTTTGACGTGTTTCAGTG